ACCACCGTCCTGCTTAAACCAAAAACAGAACCCAAAGTCGTCTTTTAACGCGAGCAAGTGGAGCAGTCAAACAGAACCCTGACTCAAATACATAACTTCAACTTTGCGATATGAGAAAATTGGTGCTATATACCTGAAACAAGGTGACTGTTAAATGAAATTGTTCACCATTATAAGTGGAGACTGGGTCGGCTAAGGCTCCAAGTGGAAACTTGGTGCTCATTTGTACAAACCCAGAACATAATGTATTAAAGCAACCTGCTGAAATGTTATCCGGATATGTCTATATGAATCAAAAAAATCAAGACCGATTTAACCCGTGAAACTTGACAATATTATGAATACCACCAATTTTTGAAATATTTTTTGAGAAACTTACAGTCCATGAGATGGATAAGGTACTATGATTATTCTTCAATCTTTGGTTTACCTGGTCCATTTTTTTGCAAGTTTATAGATTTCCTTAATTGTTACAAAAAATTAAGCAAATAAAAAATGATTTTACTTACTATCCATCCAGCTGAGATGCTTTGTAAATGGTAATTATTTCCTCCTGAAACATGTATACCTGCGCTACTAAATTGATTAGGTGATACATGCGGATCCCATACATTAATGTATCCAATTGCTCCATAATTGTTAGCTTTGTACTCAGCTACGGCAAACTAATAAGACAATCAAGAGAAAAAGAAAATATTATAAGCACATGTTAGGGTCTTAACTATATGAACAAGAAGTGTATATTACATGATGACCAGTCGTATCAATGTTCCTGTGATCCTTTGAATTTGGATTGCTGAGTCCTAATGATTTTAAATGTTGAGCTTGTACAAGATCTTCAAGTGTAGTTCTTTTAACAATCACTGTCCCAAGTGGACAACTTATGTTTTCATGTCGAAATGGCAAATAAGTAGATTTTTTAGTAGTGTTGTTATCTCTGGTCCATTTAGGTATAGTTGTAGGCTTCGACTGCATAGATATGATCATTTCAATTCATTAGCAAGAAAAATATTTACTCGCATTTTGTAAGATAAATCCTGAATAGTTATATGTATCATAATTCAATCCTTTTTAAAAATAGGTGTCTTGTAAAATGTAACCTGAATAGAATGGTTCTTAAGCAAATGATGATCAAAGGCTAGCTGCTTTTGAATGTCGATACAATCCAATATATCACCATGTTCGTCTGTCAGAAATACAAGGCCAAATTTTTTTAGATATGATCTTAACAAACTGTGATTTTGATAGTTTCACTCTTAAAGTAACATAGATCCAAAGGAAGTTTTTAAATTGTGTCGTTCGGTTTTATCTTATCCAAACTGCAAATATATGAGGTTTTAAAACATTAGTATAGCTTTTTATCAAATAGGTTTTCAACAACAAATTTACAGTTTCAAATAAAAAAATAAAAAACATCAAATTTGCTTAGAAAAATAAGAAATGAAATAGTTTAGTTATTTCGTACAAAATCGTAATAATTTTAAAACTAGGCTTTTACTTGATTGGAGCTGTATTCAATCTAGGTTTTGGAAGAATTTCAAATTATTTAGCAAAAAAGAAAAAACTAGGTTCTTACTTGAAAACTTTTGATTGGAGGTTTATCGATATGGTTGAGTAGCTTCTTGAGCTCTTTTATTTATTTTTCGGATGGTATTGTTCTTTGACTCTCTATGGTTGACAAAATTATTAGGATAAACGTATTGGATGACATGGAAAATCAAGGATCTTATACTATTTTTCTTTCAAAAGATGAATGAGGCACATCAACTATTTATATGGTGTCACATTGATCTCAAACCTTTAATAAAAGTGAAAAAAAAAATCTGAAACCATTAAAACCAACAAAGAACTTTTAAAAAATAAATGACAAGTGGTTCTCTGGCTTTGTGTGGATGCCAAATTAAAAATTATTGTTAAACTTTACGACTGTTTGTTCTCTTTGCTAACACAGAGACCACGAAGCTTAATGGAGGAAACCCGGTCGAGTTTGATGGTTACATGAGAGCATCTGTTGATACAGAAGTGTTCTTGAGAGGGAAGAAGCAGATTGAGACATTCAATGATCTTACAAATGACTGTAAAGACGGAATCGACACTTGCAACATAGCAGCAAGTTGATCTCTCTGGTAAGCAAGTATAACCAAAAGTCTTTTATCGTATACGTTGTTTGTTTGTTGTTTGATTAGTAAGATTGAACCATCTTGTTTATTGCTTTGTTCTTGTAGAATAGCTTTGTATGTTTCATAACTTTTGTCTCGTTTCTTCTAAACTATGTCTGGTTTATAAGATATACTTCTTATGTATAAAGATTTTAAAGACAATGAGAACTAAAATGTACATCCTCCAGGTCCTCCATAGAAAACTGCTCTAGACCAAAATTCACCAGTGCCTGATTTCGTTTCGACGTTATAACAGCCTGGATTGTTTGCATATGTTTGTATAGCTGCAGTTGTTGGACTAAAAAATTTTCTTGAAACGTGATCAATCACTTTAATACCATTTATATAAGCTGCTTTCCTGAAACCCTCTTGTGCGTAATGTCCACTTCCCATGGTTGGACTCTTTTCTTTCACTGGACTAAACACTTCTCCACCCCAATACACCCAACTTGCTCCATTAGCTAAACCTTCAGTTTTGAACAATGATTTTGGCCAGTACCCAATTGGATCGTCCCTTAGCATAAACCACCAATTCCCACTACCATGATCCTGCTTAAACCAAAAACAAAACTCATAGTCGTCTTTTAGCACAAGCGAGTGGAGGAGTCGAACATGACCCTGACTCAAATACATAACTTCAACTTCGCGATATAAGAAAATTGGTGCTATATACCTGAAACAAGCTGACTACTAAATGAAATTGTTCACCATTATAAGTGGAGACTGGGTGGACTAGGATTCCAAGTGGAAACTTGGTGCTCACTTGTACAAACCCAGGGCATCTTGTATTAAAGCAACCTACTGAAATGTTATCTGAATCCGTCTATATGAATCAAAAAAATCAAGACCGATTTAACCCGTGAAACTTGACAATATTATGAATACCACCAATCTTTGAAATATTTTTTGAGAAACTTACAGTCCATGAGATGGATAAGCTACTATGATTATTCTTCAATCTTTGGTTTACCTGGTCCATTTTTTGCAAGTTTATAGATTTCCTTAATTGTTACAAAAAATTAAGCAAACAAAAAATGAATTTACTTACTATCCATCCAGCTGAGATGCTTTGTAAATGGTAATTATTTCCTCCTGAAACATGTATACTTGCGCGACTAAATTGATTAGGTGATACATGCAGATCCCATACATTAATGTATCCAGTTGCTCCATAATTGTTTGCTTTGTACTCAGCTACGGCAAACTAATAAGACAATCAAAAGAAAAAGAAAATATTATAAGCACATGTTAGGGTCTTAACTATATGAACAATAAGTGAATATTACATGATAACCAGTCGTATCAATGTTCCTATCCTTTGAATTTGGATTGCTGAGTCCTAATGATTTCAAATGTTGAGTTTGTATAAGATCTTCAAGTGTTGTTCTTTTAACAATCACTGTCCCAAATGGACAACTTAAGTTTTCTTGTCGAAATGGCAAAGAAGTAGATTTTTGAAAAGTGTTGTTATCTCTGGTCCATTTAGGTATAGTTGTAGGCTTCAACTGCATATGATCATTTCAATTCATTAGCAAGAAAGGAATCTTTAAAAAGATTTACTCGTATTTTCTAAGACAAAACCTGAATAGTTATATTTATGTATCATAGTGCAATCCATTTTAAAAATATAGAATGTAACCTGAATAGAATGGTTCTTGAGCAAAGGATGATCAAAGGCGCGCTGCTTTTGAATGTCGATACAATCCAATATATCACCATGTTCGGTCTGTCGAAATCAAGGCCAAATGTTTTTTAGATATGATCTTAACAAACTGTGATTTTGATAGTTTCACTCTTAACATAACATAGATCCAAAGTGAGTTTTTAAATTGTGTCGTTCGGTTTAATCTTATCCAAAGTGCAAACATATGAGGTTCTAAAATATTAGTATAGCTTTTATCAAACAGGTTTTCAACATCAAATTTGCAGTTTCAAAACAAAGAAAAAAACATCAAATTTGCTTAGAAAAATAAAAAATGAAAAATAGTTTAGTTATTTCGTACAAAATCGTAATAATTTTACTAAAACTAGGCTTTTATTTGATTGGAGCTGTATTCAATCTAAGATTTGGAAGAATTTCAAATTATTTAGCAAAAAAGAAAAATCTAGGTTCTACTTGAAAAATTTTGATTGGAGGTTTATTGATATGGTTGAGTAGCTTCTTGAACTCTTTTATTTCTTCTTCGGAGGGTATTGTTCTTTGACTTTCCATGGCTAAAGTGAGATATATTGTTGACAAAATTATTAGGATAAGCGTATTGGAGGACCACATGGAAAATCAAGGATCTTAAACTATTTTCTTTCAAAAGATGAATGAGGCACATCAACTATTTATATGGTGTCACATTGTTCTCAAAATGTTTATAAAAGTTAAAACAAAATCTGAAACTATTAAAACCAACAAATAACTTTTTTAAAAATAACTGACAAGTGGTTCCCTGGCTTTGTGTGGATGCCAAATTAAAAATTATTGTTAAACTGTACGACTGTTTGTCCAGCTTATTGTGTAAATAGTAAAATTGTGTTTGTATAAATTAAATATTTATGTTTATAAATGTATTAAATTTTACTAAAATAACAATGATTGATTTACCTCCTAAACACAACTTATTTCATTAATATTTTTATTTTTATGTTTGTTTAGCTAAATTAAAAGTTTTTATTATTAAAACTAAGAACTTTTAAAATGTATACATCT